CACTGCCGTCTCTCTGAGCATCAGCCCAGCCTGGGCCACCACTGGAAATACCCCGTCACCAGGGAGAACATCCTAAAAGCTCTCAGAGCATACCAGGAGGGTTCATGAAAGCAAGTGCAGAAGGACTTTGCCTGTGATAGCTGAGGTCTGGACTCAATGAGCAAGGAAATCTCTTCCAGTCCCCACTGCTATAATTAGCGCACAGACTATCGGATGGTCCTTATAAAGAGGAGTGGTAAATATGAGCATATGCTAAGGGGTGATGTCTCCTTTCCACGGGGCCATAGCCACGGTCTCTCTTTCAGGTCCGAACCAGGACAGTGCTCCGGCAGCAGGGCAGCCCTCCCAGCCAGGGAGCAGCAACAGGCTTTTGGACACGGACTTGACCAAGGCCATCCTCATTCATCATACCCAAATCCATGTCAGCTGGAAACGTGGAAATTTGGGAAGTGGCTGTTCTTTGGGTGAGCTCTTTGATTTTATAGAATCACAGAATGGTTTAGGTTGGAAAGGACCTTGAAGATCACTGAGTTCCAACCCCCCTGCCATAGACAGGGACACCTCCCACCAGCCCAGGATGCCCAAGGCCACGTCCAACCTGGCCTTGAACACCTCCAGGGATGGAGCCTCAACAACTCCCCTGGGCAACTTTTTGAGGGCTCAGTGCTCTTTCCGAATACTGAGCACATTCAGAAAGCAAACACAACCGCCCGTTGGCTGCTTGCTGGTTTCTGGGTGGTGAAGTAAATACCGATTTCAGCCCATTAAACAAAACTTCTAAGGCATATGTGTGTGCGTGTGCGTCCAAGCCATCTGCCCCGACTTCAACAGCTGAAATGTTACATCCAAGTCCGTTTTAAGTATTTCTAACTTGTAGCTGCTAAATCCCACCCCAAAAAAGAATGAGATGTGCCTATCTGTGATCTGCCCCGGCACTCGCTGTCGGCAGGGAGGATGCGCGGGGAAAGCAGCCCTGCGACACCCCCGGCCATCCCATAGCACCTCCTTGGCGACTGTTTCTGGGAACAGGAGTTTTCTCTGGGATTTTGCCTATTTTTTTTTTTTCTGCTGGTTTGAGTACAGTGTCATTCTCAATAAAGATGAAGGTTCAGCATCGGTGTCTTTTATAGATTATAAAATAATAATAAATAGCATGCTATGACTTTAAAGAGCCTGGTATAGCGCTGCATTATCTGGAAAAAGCAGCTTGGTTTATGCCAAGAAAGTTATATTCCCACAGAACTGTCTATCCACAAAGTTTATGAATAAGTCTTCTTTTATAAGTGACAGAGAACACTAACTTATAAACACATAATAGTTGTTTTATAGCGTAGGAGAGAAGCAGGGAAAAAGGTTTCAACAACGGCCGTTAGAGTCATGGCTGCTTTCTTTAAGGACTTCTTTTTAATGTCACAGTTTAAAAAACCAAAGAAAACAAAGCCACACTTTATCTGCTTTTTCAGCAAGTTAATTTTAAGTCCGTGTCACACGCTATATGGCCGAAACCCTGTCCAAATCTGTGCAAACCCCCGATTTTCAAGGCAACAGAGAACCAACTTGGCAGGCTGGCTCCGAATCCGACGCACATACCTAAAGCGCTAGTTTAACATGGCACGCACCCGAAGAAATCCATCTTGCTGTCTTTTACGTTCCCTAAAAAAAAAAAATAAAAATCCCAAACGCTTTCTCCCCCAAAAGCTATAAAAAAAATAATCTTTCCTTCTAACATTTTCCTCGTTTCGAGCAAGATGGGGTATTCAATTTGTATTGCATTAAGAACCACTTTAGCTTAAATCCCACGCTATTAAGCTGGCTTGTATGTAAATACACTCCCCGATTCCTACACCTGCATCATTGAAACCATCTCTCCGGAGGTTTGTTCTTTATTAGTTTTGTGACAGCCAAACTTTTTCTTGGGCGATACGTGTCTGTGTAAAACGCTGCGATCGCACATTACGCGACGCCCCCGCCCGCCCGGAGGAACCTGGACGTTATTGCTTTTGACCTTCCTTTTCAACTGGTCTGACTCGAGAAATTTAACACTACAATTGTACCTCTCAACCCTGACATCAAAATCGTTGGCAATTCTCAACGAAATCAAGAACAGGCTCCACGAAGAGTTATTAAAGGCGCCAAACGCCCATGTGTTTCATTGGGTCTAGAGAAGGGGAAAAAAAGAGACTTCTCAAAAAAGCTGAGCTCTTTGGAAACAACAACTCTTGCATTATTAATTCCTTATTCGGAAGAAAGAAAAACCTAGGTCATTCCTATGTAAGATGAAAAAAGTCCCATTTTATGAGTTACTCCACATTTGGAGCTATTCGTGCAACGTTAGGTTAACCTGAAGACACGAGTTATCGGGGTCAAAGGGATAGACTTTGTCTATACCCATTAACTCCTCGGTCAACATTATTTCGCATATTTAAAAAAACTGCATTTTTATAGGGTTTTTTTTTGCCCTGTCAGGTTGGAGCTACGAGTCCCTCTCGGACACGCAGGTGAGTTTGTTGCCAACACAAGCCTTTGATCAGGGCTTGAAGATACCTCACGCTCCTGACAGCAAGACCTGTTGGCAAACCAAGTGTGGGTAAATAACGGCAAGATAAAAGCCACCACTATCGGAAAACAAATGTCAGGTTCAGTCCCAGAAGCAGCACGGAGCGAGTTTACATCCAAAACATTTATTGCTTCAGCGATCGAATAATCCCGAGCGTTTGGGTCCCAAACCACATGCGCAGCCCGGCTGAATGAAAGGAAGTGAGATAAGTGTTTCTCTTAATCCGTTATTGTTATACTTCAATTTGCTTCTTTTTAAATCTATTTTTCAAATTATAAAAGCACGCCAGATAGTATGTTGAACTACTTCCAAGCACAACTGCAAAGAAATCCCATATTCCTTCAAAAAAAGCGATACAGGCGGTACAAACCCAATCTCACCTGAGCCACAACGGTCGGAGGAACAGCTCCAATGAATTTGGTCGCGGCCTCCGACCGCTGCTCATGTTTCAACGCCTCCGACGCCGCGCTGGGCTGCGCGACGGTAATCGCCCACCTTTGGCAGCGGTTGGAAGGTTTCGATCCAACAGTTTAAGATGCCTCATAAATGTAAATTTGACTGTACGTCTCTAAGTCTACACAACTGTTAACCTCTTGCGTCGACCTGAGAACCAGACCAGAAGAAGGGCAGGACGGTTTCCCAAGGAAATTAGGAAGTATAAATACGTTTTACCTTCCGAGCCACCAGAAGTGAAGCTGAGAGTCAGGCAAGACATTTGTTTGGATCTGAAGACAAGTCAAGAGCACAGCAAGAACTCAACTGTCAGAAGCTTTAACTTTCAGAGGAGTCTGTGGGAAAGGGAACGCGTTGAGCTAAATTTGTATCTACTTTAAATAGCAGAAGGTAGTTTGCAGAGGACAGCCTAGGAGAAACGGTTCAATGTGCCTCTGCAATAGAATTACTGAACCTTTAAAGAGCTTTAAAGCAATTTATACACATACTTGAATAATACCCTTCTGCAAAAATACTTAATAATAAAATCATTTACTGGCCGCATCATTGCACAAAGAGCAGATGTAAGAGGCAACAGCTTACCCAAGTTACTTCCCACCCCAAAAAACCCAACATAAACTGAACCCGTTATACCCACTGGTATACCAAAGAAAAGATCAGATGTATTTAATGAGTGAGAATAACTCTGCAGCAATTTCTCTCTCATTTGTTTAACATCGTTAACAACAGTGCTCAAGGCAGGATAAAAGAAAGCCTCTCTGGAGCACGAGCCGTCTTCTGGGATAAGTTCATGCGGGACCTTGCACCCAGGCACAGCCAAAGCTGACAATTTAAGACCTCAAATCTCCCCGAGAGCCACTTTGGGTGTTTTCCCACATACCGTCTATTTTACTTCGAGTCAAACCTGGCAACCTCTACTCATCTCCGTCTGCTGCCCTTTTCTCCTGGGTGTGCTGGGGCAGCACCAGGCGCGGCCGTCCGGAGTCGGGCAGGAGATCACCCAGCTCCCAGCAAGACAGAAACTGGAAAGATTCTCATGTTTTTTCCCCTTTTGTTCTTGCTAGAGTGACTTCACAGACTTTCCTTGCTCGTCCCCACACTGCTATTATCAAACTATTTCCAACCCGAAAGGTCATCGGCAGACATGGTTACTGGCTTATTTTGCATGTGGCTTATTTTTCTTCCCTTTTTTCTTTTTCTTTTTTTTTTTTTTTATTAAATAAGCACACACGCTTTCCAACTTTCCCTTCTCCCAACTCTCTAGCATCCTTTCCCTTACATCAGCGACGCCAAGAAACAAGCTCAGTCGAGCAACGTGCTGCATTTCTGAACAACTGTGTTACAACTTGGAATGGCACTTGTGAAAGTTTCAAAAACCTCAATGTGCACTAAAGGGCTCCCAGAAGAAAGGAAACAAAACAAGCCCAAACAGGATCATAGAAGTTCTACAAATCCCTGTCTTTCAGACGATGTTTACCCAAGTGAGCCCAACTAAGCCATCGGTGCCACCTGAACCCTTTTCTTCTGGCGTAAGCTCAGCAAAAATTAGGAGGAAAGGGTGGGAAAGGGCAGGTTTGACTGGGACATGCCCATCTCTAGGCTTACCAGAAGTTACCCTGCCCATGGCACTGAGGGCGATGAGCAATGAGGAACAGAAGAAGCGCTCAAGCATGGACCATAGCTTCATGAACTGTGGTGGAGAGAACAACCGGGAGCTAAAGGGTGTGAAGGAGAGCCAGGTGAAGCTTTCCTCACAAGAAGGGAATGACCTAAGAAAATCCAAAGGTTATCTACCATCAGGTGGTCCTCCATCACCACAGGTCACTGGTCCCTCAGGAGATTTCTCATTGTGTTAGCAACATTAAAGACGGATCCACCAGACACAGCACTGGCTGCAGGGAGAGGCACCAACCTGGGGCTACGGTGAGTGAAATGCCAGCGATGCGGCGTTGGCTGCCTCCCGCGGTGCCCTGATGGCCGGTGGTCCTCCTCACACCCTGCCACCCATGGACCTTCTCCGGCCCAGCTTCACCCCGCAGCCCCGCCGACCCGCGCCAGGGATGCAGAAGCCGCAGCCCAGCTGGTAAACTCCAAACGGTTTATCCCGAAAGAAAGGCTCTGCCAGGCAGCAGCTCACCCCGGAGCCGCTACCTGCGGCAAGCGGGGAAAAGGCAGAAGACACAACAGATGATCTCAGCGGGGGACTGTTGTTCCTCCACTACTTTCTCCAGGAAAAACAAATGGGGGGCGAAAAAAAAAAAAAAATAAAATGAAAGGCCGTCTCTGCTGGTCTGGCGCAGAAGGGGACATCTGCCCACGTCCATCTGCCATCAGCCCCACACCCCGGTCTTTGTTTTTGGTAGGGTCAGTTTTCTACCATTATAGCTCCCTGAACCTTCTCACCAGGACACCAGTGCCAGTACAAGGAAAAAGATGGGACCATGGGGAGAGGGAGCAGGTAACCAGTAGCTTTGCTTAGATGCATGGGTAAAATGTCCCATTAGGCTCTTAAATCACTTGAGAAAGTATTATCTTTTGCCTCTTCCTTTGTTTTTCACTCGAACAAACGCCGGGATTACTCACTCCCTAGTTCGACGGATATATTACAGCGCCAGAACGCTTCCGAAATGTTTAAAGCATCAACAACCAGAGTTACACACATGAAGAAAAAAAAAAAAAAAGAAAAAAAGACATGAACGTAATCACAGCTCAGTCAAACGAGTGGAATAAGCTGCAGGAATGAGACTACAGTTTTACTGGTCTATCTGAACCTGCAAGAGGAGCTTTACTGGCAAGACATTGATCAAGGAGAAAAAGTTATTGCAGGAAAAAAAAAAATATTATATAGTGTTCGTACCAAGTCATTTGAGGTCAGATTAAGTGTTCTTGAAGTCTGGTCCATGTGTCTTCTATTTTAAAAAGTGCCCTGCTTGCACAGGAATTGTAAGAACTTTTGCAAACGGGATGCTGGCTCCTAAGTCCCTTGGATACTTGACCGCGTGGTCAGGAGGGTTGAGATTTACATACAAATTGCAAAGCTTCTAAATGGCTTCCTCAGAGCAAGAAACGGGGGTGGAAATGAGAGAATATTTAATGATTGGTTCCTTATGGCTCCGACATTCTTGAAGCATATTTCTTGCAGTCCCTGGAACACTCCTGCATTCTTGATTGCAAAATGGCAATAAGTGATTTCCTTTAAAAGCCTTGTCTTTTATTGGAATACTAAAAATACCCCACTAGCCCCACTCCACTCCACTCTCTCTCTTTCCTGGACAGGCACCATCAACCCTGATGTATTCTATTTTGAAGACGGCAATAAACATTTCAGCATGGGCTGTTCAATCCACTTCATAATAGATCTTGCGTTTCCAGTGGAGCCCCTACTAGCACCATAAATCATCTTTACACAGACTTAAGTATGAGAAACTCCAGCTCAAAAGCAGCGCGGATTATTTTTCTTCTTTTTAAAAAACTAAAAAATGGGTACAAACCAGTCAGGAATTAAATGACTGGTGACTTTAAACACGAAACTACTGGGATGACCCCGTAAAAAGAGGGCTGCGGCGATGGTTAGAGCCACACTGTGCAGCGCTGCTCCCGTCAATTCACTCGGAATAAACCTACCTGGAAGACGATGCTCGGTGGGGTGAAGTTCAGAAAAAATTGTCTACGCATCCATTAGGTCTGAACAAACACGGGTTTCGACTCTGGGATACTCTGGCTGTTGCTGATTTTAAAAGCCGCAGATGAAGATTAATTACACACTACGTCTGAACTGGTTACACACAACTAATACCCCTTTTGTTTTTCCAGCCTATACGGACTTAAAATCTGAACTGTTCTCCCCAGTGCTTTCCTCATTATGTCTCTCTCCATCTGCTACAGACCTTGGAGAACAGCTCAAAGAGATCATTTCAGGTACAGGATGAGGAGGCCACCGCGTAAGCCACTATTTTATCGTTAACGTTCTCGGCCAAGGCGAGGAGCTTCTCCAGGAAAAGCGGTTGTGCAATCACGTTCAAGATCTAAGACCAGCCAAGTGCAGGATGCAACCAACCTTCCTCAGCCTTAAACATCAAAGTCTTCACGCAGTCCAGAGCCAGAAGGGACATAATTCTGAGCCCCAACGCAGGCTCCAAACCCAGCCCCAGCGGCGGATGCCCGAGCATCGATCCCTCTGTCAGGAGCTTCGGCTGCACGAGGTGACCGAGCGGCTCCCGAGCCAACCCAGCGGGGTCGGCCCCGGCACGATTACTTCTTTCCACATTAAGGGAGTCTGCTGGGAAATCCGACCTCACTGAACAGATCCGCTGGTCACATCGTAACTCTCTTACAGCAATTGCCCTCGAGGCACTCCCCAAACCACACGCAGCTCAGCAGCCACGGGCTGATGCCCCACGTACCCGAAGAAATACAAGCTGTAGCTTGCACCTGAACGCAAGCCAAATTAAGGGGAAACACGCTTATTTTTCTACTCTTGAAGTCCAAGAGGGAAGCAAACCTAACTTTGTCTGTTAGCAAACTAGTTCCTGATCAGGCGTGTGGCTGGCGGGTCTCAGTCCCTGCCTGCTGCTGTCCCGCGGACGGTTGGCTCTCCGCTCTCTGCTCGGCGGGATGCAGTTAGCAACGGGCTCCGCTGAGCATCACCTTCCCTCGCTTGGATAAACCACACTCCACCGAGCCCTTCCCCGCCTCCAGCGGGGTCTCAAACAGGAGGGTCCGCATAAGGAAACCACGCTTATTTTCGGTTGACTCATTCCATGACTTTGACCTGGGTGAAGGACTCCCAACAGCAAGATCTGGTGACCGCAGCAAGGATGTTCTCTTCCGACTCTGAAGAGAAGGCAAGCGGGGTCATAGCTCATAAAACCATCAGGAGGGAAAGGGACCACAGCAGGTTCTAGCGCAACGTACTGCTCCAAGCAGGGCCAAGTTAGAGGGCTGGACCTGATGATCCTTATGGGTCCCTTCCAGGTTGAGATACTCTATGATTCTAAGACCAGACTCAGACCACATTGCTCTGGACTTTTGTCAACCTGAGTCTTGAAAACCTTTAAGGATGCCCCACTCTTCAGGGAGCACACGGACTGGATTCCCCCCACGTGAGAGCCCACCAAAAGATCTGCTCATTTTCACAAATAGGCTGTGCTACTCTGAGAAAGTTTAGTTACACTAAAAATACTTGAGGGAGAACAGCACAGTATGGACAACCCAAAGAGGTAACGCAGAAGTGGGTAAGTGCTTATCATCTCAAATACAACACTGAGAAAAAGAAAACCTTGACATCCTTCAGACTGACTCTTAACATCGAAGAAGATTCTTTGATGGGGCTTCAATGATTTTAAAATCAATACCAACTCAGACCAATAAACTGTTCCACCCCAGTTTCTGCAGAAGTGCATCAGTCTGCACATAAAATTCTTGACACGGATAGAGCTGTGGGGTTTTTTTTGTTGTTGAGAATCGTGTTTTCACAATTCAAAAAACAAGCCTTCTTTTAGAAACTTGCTCAACCTCTGGCAACCCAACCTAATCAGCATACAAAACTGCACAAACCAGCAACCAAATATGTCTTATTAATACCATTTACAGCTGCTAACAACTCTAAGAACCTTCTAAAAACGCCAAGGGAAACAGGGCGGGTGAAACAATCCCTCGCAAACAACTGGGCCAATAAATACAGAACTCTGATAAGAAATTAGGTTTGACTTGCATAATCACTTTTAAAAGTTTTTGGTAAATGGGGTCTGAAGAGCAGGAGGCTGATAAAATAACATAGTGCAGTAGCAACGCGCAAGTTTCATGCCGATGAAGTAGGGAATTCAATCCTTGCTGAATTCTTGAAATCATTTAGATGTTAACAGAAGTTTCTTCTCCAAAAAAAGAAGGCAAGGCATCTCTCAGAGCCCACACACACAGATCGCTGACTCCTATATGCTGGTGTACTACACGAAACTATTTTGGGTTTGGAAGACTGCATTGTCTCATGTGTCAGGACGGCTATTTTATTTTATTTTATTTTTTAACTTCTGACTTGAGCAGAGCCAAACCTGTACAATTTATGCAAGTGCAGTACAAGAGGTCCTCTCTCCTTTTGTATTAAAAAAAAAAAAAAGAGAGAGAGAGAGAAAGGAGGAGGAAAAAACCACACTATCATTTCATCTCAGTACCTTCCTAAAACTTGAGAAGTTTATAAGCTCTGAACTCCCAGTTCTCTTCCTCTGCTTTCCCACATGACAGCTACAAGCTGCCCCAGCAGCTGCACAGTAAACGTCTTCAAAGGAAATAAAAGAAATAATTGCTCTCAGAACAAAGCGCAGGGGGGAAAACCGGCCTGGGCGACAGGAGGAGCGCGGGGCTGCGCCGGCTGCAGCGCGGGGAGCGGGCGCAGGATGGGTTCCAGCTCCTCTCCACATCCTCATACGCAGCCTCTCCGCACGCTCAGCGCCGGCCGAGACTTCTGTTCGTAAGGGGGAAAGGCGGCAAAACCAGAAAAGCAGCGGGAGAGCGCTCTTCTGAGAGCGCTGCGGAAGGCAGGATGCTCCGGGAACCCATCTTCATATATTTTGCATCATGTTCTCCTGCTGGAGAACGTTTCCCTTTTTCAGCTCCTTAAGGTTATGATTAGGTACGTGCGGGGGTTGACACAGAGGAAAAAATAAATATATAAAATTAAGAAAAAAAAAAAAAAGGTCTGTGTAAGGACTGTAGCCTGTTATCAAACAAACAGCAAGGATAAAAATACTTGGGGGCAAAAAGAAGCTGCCTGATTTACTAAATTTGGGGTTTTTTTTTCTCCTTAAGTCTAATCCCACTGTTAAATCTACAGAGCTTATTCCCCTCACGCTTCCAGGGGGAGAAAAAAAACAACCAACCCACACTGCAAAGAGGCATATAAATCGCCCCGGATCATTTGCCTGAATCCCGCTCCTGCCCCGAAAGAGGGACGCTCCATATGCTTTTGCAATAGCTCTGTTTTGATAGTATTACCAGGAGTGTCCCTTATTAATCATGTCGCCACTAAACGTCTCTCTGGAGTATTTGCTTATTCTATACTTTTCCAAACCGTTTCAGCTTCTTCTTAATTTATTAAAAGCTCGCTGAAGATGACCATGGTTAAAGCTAACCTCGGCTACTACAAAACTGGAAGG